AAAGCACTTTAAAAAGCAAGGAAAAGGCACTTCTTTTTTCTTTTTGGCCATCAAGGAAAATGCAATTCAAACTTCAATAGAATGATGCCAAAATTTACAACCAGAGAAAAATTATAAGTTCATGAGCCAATAGATGGTTAAGAATGAAATGTAGTTTAATGATAATATAGTTTTGAAAGAATACAATAAGTTGATGATAATATTTTTCAAAAGGTTTCCAAAAATGTGAAGGTAAATCTAGGTATTCTCCAAAGTTGTGGAGGGCCAAGGACGATGGACCTTCTAGCCTTCCACACATTGCTGTCACAGGCTGACTATTCATGCAAAAGAAAGAGACAGGAATTTTACATACCCTTTTCTTATTGACATTTCCATCTCCTCCAGCATCAATTTTTGCAGGATGATAGAATCCAAAATTGGCAGGTTGCTTCTGCCTTCTGGCAATAATAATTCTCCTCTTCCAGAACTCTCTGGTGCTGATTTCCTTGTCATCTAACTTCAACTACTTAGCCGTGAAAAGAAAAGACAACAAAGAACATGTAAGTTTTGTGGGAATAAGGATGAAAATAGAATAATGGAACCACATTTCATAGTTCAACCTAGAGTCCCCCTAAAAACAGAAGAATAAGAAAAGGATAAATCTTCCATAAGAAGAAATAATGATGATCAAGATTAACTGAGCAAGACCACGGTATTGAGACAATTAATAGCTCAGAACCAAGAACATGCAGACCAAAATACAAATATTAGAATTTCAAGAACAGGACATGCAGTATGGAGAAAATGAAAAACCTATAGAACTTACATTATCAGGATGAACAAAGTAGCTGAACACTTGTGGTCGATACCATCGGGCACAGCATAATGGATTCCCTTCCAACCACAGGTTTCGTAAAGATGGAAGGCCTGTGAGGAACTCCAACTCTGAAAAATTGGAAATCATATTGTAGGACACATCAAGCTCTTCTAGTGACTTCAAATTCTCAATCCCACGCAATGCAGTTAGAGCATTGTTCCTCAAAACAAGTTTAACAATATGACAGGAGACCTGCATAGTCCAACAGCAAAAAGGTGTATGTCCAAAGCTATAATTCCTATGCAGAAAAGTTATGTGAAAAACAAAGAATTTGAAAATCACAATAGAACACGAAATCAATCCAGAGAATTTAACATACAACTTAATATCAAAAAAGACTAAGAAGCATATGTTGAAACATAGATTTCAAGGCATTTCAATACATAAGTTGGCTGCCAGGCATCAAGTTTATGACAAATGAAAATTTTATTGAAACCATCGCTTTCATTGCCTGGTAACAAAATTGAAAGTTCAACTGTTGGCAAGACGGTAGTATACAATTGTCATTAACTGTAAAACTTAAATAAATAAATAAGGAATTAACAGTAACAATGAAGCCAGACGTGGACCTTACTGAGGAAGTTTCAGGTCAGACAGAATCTCAAAGATCCTGAATAGGCTTAAAGCAAACAAGTTCGTTCATAAAAGTTGAACGTATACGAATTTTGTTGAGTGAAATCCATATCCTAACCTAAAAATTAAGTTTCCCGTTGACATCCTAACTGAGAAGATTACCAAAAATTTCAAATACATTCATTACCAAAAAATTGCAGGCATCTAGTCACAACAACGAATCATCCACTTAATATAATAATTGCAGTATCCTACCTCAATGAAGTATGCGATGGATCTCAAGTGATTAAATCCAAGGTCGAGGTACTTCAATTTGGTACACTTCCGAAGATTATCCACCTTGGCAAACTTGTTTCGACTTAAATCAAGAGTTTCAACAGCAGGAAGAAGTTGCAAAGATTCATCCATCAGTAGCAAGCGATTGCATGCACACGAAACAAATGACAACCGATTCCACTGTGAAGAATCCTTTATTTCAGCGATTCTACTTGCAAACACATGTCTCAGAGCATCCTACGAAATTCAAACAGCAGTATGTGGGAGAAAGAAAAATTGATTTCAAAATATGTGGAGTTCCAAAAGGTAGAGAAAAAGAACTCACTGTAGAATTGTGGCAGATAATCTTCTCCAACGTATGTCTCAACTCAAGTAAGCCTCTGGCGGCGGAGGTGGACAAGTCGCATCCTCTGAGCTCCAGAACCTTCAATCTCCCGAACGGAAGGAGAGAAAGAGGCGTGGGATCCCGTGCAGGAGGAGGCAACGCGGAAACCACCTTGAGCGACGTCAGCAGCCGGAGAATCCTCCTGAGCTGCTCGAGCGCGCGGTGATCTCCAAGGTCCGAAATATAAGCACGGAGATAATCAACTGGAGCTCCAGCCAAGAGTTGCTCTAACTCCAGCAGCGCCTCCAGGCGGGACTGAACATAGTGGAGGCCAGCCGGGTTGAGCTTGAGCACCTTGGTTGCCTCAATCAAGAAACCTGCCTGCTCGTCCACGAATCTGACCAGCTTCTCCAGGTAGCGATCTCCGGTGACGATCGCCATTAGGAAGAAGAATTAGGGATCTGGAAAGGGAAGCCGAGGAATCATGTACACGGAAAACTGATGCGTGTAAGGAGAAATCGCGGGGAAATTGAACAGACGGGAAAAGAGTGAAGGAATTGAAGAATGATTTTCTGAGAATGAGGATTTAGCGTAGAAATCAAATAAGAATCAGGAATCTGAGAGCACAAGTGAAGGGGAAGGAGAAACTGCCATGGCAGAGCAATTGAAAGGGATGAGCGATTATGTGCGCTGGACATTTAATCGGGTCTAATCATTGGTTAAACATGGGGATGCGTAATTGGGAATGGTAAACGGTAATTAACCGGCACAGCTCATTAATTGAGGCTCCTATTTTTATTTTTAATTTTTGACCCTTTTTAAAAATTTTTTTTATAAAAAAAGTACTAGTTTGTTTTGTGTGTATTATATTTTCTTTAATTATTAATAGAGAAGTGGGTGCTTAGGCTTTAAGCATCCATTCCTTAATCAATATATGATTAAAAGTAATATAATTTTCAAGGTGTACTACACCATTGCATTGTATTTTTATATATTATATGGTGACTAATATTATATTTAAATTAAATTTAATAAACTATATGTTTATAGTAAATTTTAATTTTTAAATATGGCAATAGTTATTAATACATTAAAAGATAAAACTAAAAATTAAAATTATTAATATATCTTCTGTCACACTGTCAAACTACATAAAAAATGTGGTTAAGTTTTAAAAGTCTTAAAATACTTTTAACAAAATTTATTTAGTAAAAATATTTAAATATTTTTGAAGGGCAAGAAATTCGAACTAAGAAAAAAAAACATATTTTTTATAAATTACATTTTAAAATTATTTTCAATAATTTAATTTAATAATAAGGTAATATTGTTCTCTAATCACTGACCTTTCTAACATATAACACTTTCATCTCTAACCTTTTTTTTGTACCACACAAATAATCTCTAATATTTTCATAAAATATCTGCAATTCTTTTTGAACAATGTACAATTTTGGAGAAGGGGAGAATTTTTTTAAGGTATTGGTTGAGCTAGAAACTCCAACCAACAAAGTCAAGCACATTAAAACTTGGGAACAAACCACTTGAACATAAAATATCTGCAATTGATCCTTCCCTTAGTTGGGGCTTTAAATCTAAGAAATGTTGATGTGGCAAATCATTTTTTCTCTTCTACAGGTCAGATGGTAGTTTCACTCGAAAAGGGACATTTTCCATCAAGCACTGACGGTGTTACAATGGTCACGTAAAATGAAGATTAGGGATGAAAGTGTCCCTTTTCAAAAAGATTAAGATCAAAAGAGAAATTTACCCTTAATAATAATATATATCATTCACCATCTTAACAGCTTACCATGCTGTTTATACAGCTTATAACTTATAATTAGATATTTAACAAATCATAATTATTATTATTTATAATTTAAAATATTTAATTTATTTAATTAAAATCAATAACTAATAACTGATTATATAAAACCAAAACAAATACCCTCTACTAAACCCAACTAAAAATGTAAATTATATATTCTACTCATTCCCAAAATAATAGTCAAATTATGATTACTTTTTTATAGATTAAGAATTTAAAGATAATTTATGTTTCTTTATATATTAGATTTTAATAATATGTTGAAGAAATAAAAATAAGCAATAACAAATAAAGTAAATCTAACCTAAACATTTTAAAAAAATATAATAATTTTAGATATTATATGTAAAAAAGACTATTATTTTCGACTGAGGAACTAACTTGCAAAGTGAATTTTTTAAAGAAAAGCAAGTTTCCCTTTTTTTTTTTTAAGTGATAATTTTCTATGAACTAACCAACTCCATTAAATTTTTATTAATAAATTATAATTAAGATTAATTTATTGTATAAGGATATAATCAATCAGCATAGTATTAACATATAATAAAAAATTTCAAATTGAAAAACAAACTGTACTGGTAATAAATTAAACGAATTGTCTTCAAATATTTCAATAGTTAAAGAACTTAAACTTCCATATTGAAAGTCTCATATAAGTGGAGTGGAATTTCAAAAGAAAACTATCATCTATTATATAATTCATTCCATCTCAATGAAAATTATATAAAAAAAAAGAAAAGAAATAAATTAAACAAACTTAAGACATTGATCAAGACTTCGATTTAAGAAGGAAATAATTTTGAAGTAAAACAAATATGCGGAGACACCTGGCAAACATGCAAATGCAGTCACATGAAGACCCAACAACACACATGTTCCTGTCTGCTTTTGCTGGCTGAATTAAAATTTAAGCCCTTACCTTTTTAAAAAGTGTAATATAATCCCACGAAGATGGGTTAAAAAATAGAGTAAAATAAAGAATGAAAGCAATGACTTGAAAACAAGAATTCTTTAAATTCTGTTGAAACAACATTAAGGCAAAATGAATTCTCCATATTTCTGTGATTCGAGTTTAAGAATGCAAATAAAGATGACAGTAAGACCTGCTATCTCTTCTTTTGCTTGAGTCTCTTGATAGCCATAAATGTAACTGCCGCGGATAGAGAATACCTGCTCAAAAACAGAACAGACATGAGCAAAGGGATTGAGATAGAAGATGCCGTTTGTTACAAAGCAACATATGCAAGTGCAAGTTTTTAAGAACAAAGAATGGAACAAGCCTACCATGTCAATGTATAATTTAGATGGTCTTGAGGCATGACAGAACTTCGAATCAAGGTATTAACATCCTTTGGAACAGGGTAAGGATTGCTTGGATTGACATTTTCATTGATGTCCTCTATGTAAAGAGTATTCTCCGGAAGCCCACAAGCAACAGCAATTGCAGGAACATCAACATAGAACCACTGGCTTGATTTTGGATCATTTGCTGGAACAAATATGCTAGGCTTCTCACTCCCACGGACAACACCAATAACTTCTATTGAAGTGATAGCAGGAGCTTCATCCTGTAAGTTGTAAAGAATTTAAGATTGCATCTTCTTATGTGTGTGTCTTCAGCACTGACCAAAGCACTATTGGATGATAAGAAACAACCTCAATATGTTCTGGTTTCCTCGACCAAAACCTCCACCACTGGCTTTTTTTGCTCTCTTGGACTACAACAGGTGGCTTACTTGAAGGCTGCTGTTCATCATCTGAAACTTGCAATGACTTGTCTTTCCAACTGCGTGGAACCCATCCTCTATTGACCAGAACTGGGGATCGTACACTGAAAGAAATTCAAATTGGTTAAAATGGAAACTCAGAGCAGGAATTTAAAACTGTCAGGAGAAAAAAGGACGAGAACATTTTATGGGACAGAAATCACATTAAATTGTCATTAGAAGTCTATGTTGCTATCTAGCAAAAGTCAACAGAAAATAGTTTTACCCAACAATTTCTTGGCATGATAATGACTTAAAT